TTGGTAGAATTTTGTAAACTATCATATCATCAGCAAATAGAGTTTGATTTCTTCTTTTCTGATTTGTATCCCCTTGATCTCCTGTGTTTGCCTTATTGCTCTAGCTAGGACCTCAATAAGTACTATATTGAATAGATATGGAGAGAGTGGACAACCTTGTCTTGTTTCTTATTTCAGTGGGGTTGCTGGGAGTTTCTCTCCATTTAGTTTGATGTTAGCTGTTGGCTTGCTGTATATTGCCTTTATTATATTTAGGTATGTTCCTTGTATCCCTGCTCTCTCCAAGACCTTTATCATGAAGGGATGTTATATTTTATCGAAGGCTTTTTCAGCATATAATGCAATGATGATGTAGTTTTTATTTTTCAGTTTGTTTATATGATAGATTAGATTGATAGATTTTCATATGTTGAACCATTCCTGCATCTCTGGGATGAAGCTGACTTGATCATGGTGGATAATTTTTCTGATGAGTTCTTGGATTCAATTTGCCAATATTTTATTGAGTATTTTTGCATCAGCGAGTGAGTGAGATTGGTTTGTAAGTCTCTTTCTTAGTAATGTCTTTGTGTGGTTTGGGTATCAGGGTAATTGTAGCCTCATAAAAAGAGTTTGGCAATGTTCCTTCTGTTTCTATTGTGTGGAACAATTTGAGGAGTATTGGTATTAGTTTTTCTTTGAAAATCTTGTAGAATTCTGAGTTGAAATTATCTGGTTCTGGGCTTTTCCAGACAAAGTATTCTTAATTGGTAGGAGAGCATTGAGATATATCTCAGTGTCTGTCTTAGGTTTTCAGTAAAATTCAGCATTTATGATGTGACATTTCCACAGCTATCTTTAAAACTTTTTATTAATATTATTTTATTGATTCTTTGGGAATTTCATATCATGCCCCTCAATCCCACTTATTTCTCAGTTTTTCGGTATCTGCCCTTCACCTTTTAGTGTTGCCCCCTGACAAGGAAAACTAAAAATGAAATAAGATAAAAAACAATAAATAAGATAAACATGCAAAAATAAATAAAGTAAAAAATATGCAAGTAAGAATATTGTTATAAGCCCGGGGTCGATCGGAGGCAGAAGTCATAGAGGGCAGCGGCGGCAGCAGCAACAGCAGCAGGAGCAAAAACCGGGGTTCCGGGCCCGAAGCAGCCACGGTCAGCAGCACCCTCAGGCGACACCCGGGCCCGCCACGGGGCTGAGCTCAGCGCCTGGATTCCGACTCTGGGAGAAGGTTCTGGGAAAAGGGAAGCCGAGCCCGCTGTGAGGAGGAGCTGGGCTTGGGAAAAAGGCCCTGGAAAAAAGGCGTAACCCGAGGCCACCAAAAACCCGAGATGCAGCAGGCGGATCTCTGTGAGTTCGAGGCCAGCCTGGTCTACAAGAGCTAGTTCCAGGACAGGAACCAAAAGCTACGGAGAAACCCTGTCTCGAAAAAAAAAAAAAAAAAAAAAAAACCCGAGATGCAGACGGCGAGACAAGTTCGCTCCCAGGACCCTGGACAGCGGCGGGTGCTGGACGGGGCAGCCCGGCAGCGGCGGATCAATCGACAGCTCGAGGCTTTAGAGAACGACAATTTCCAGGATGACCCCCACGCAGGCCTCCCCCAGCTGGGCAAGAGGCTGCCTCAGTTTGATGACGATGCAGACACAGGAAAGAAAAAGAAGAAAACTCGAGGTGACCATTTCAAGCTTCGCTTCCGGAAAAACTTCCAGGCTTCCAGGAGGAGCAGAACCTGAGTGCGTCTGAGGGTCCCAATTACTTGACAGCCTGTGCGGGTCCCCCATCCCAACCCCAGCGCCCCTTCTGTGCTGTATGTGACTTCCCATCCCCGTATACCTGTGTAAGCTGTGGTGCCCGGTACTGCACAGTGCGCTGCCTGGGCACCCACCAGGAGACCAGGTGTCTGAAGTGGACCGTGTAAACCTGCATCAGGAGAGGAAGTACCCCCAACCCTTCCCCCAGCTCATCCTCAAAGGGTAGAGAGAAGAACCATCCATTCACTCAGCGAAGCTGTGTCCTGTCAACCAACGGAGACCACACGGACCCCGGGGACTGTGTGGGATTGGTCTAACCCACAGAGTTATAATAGATGTAAATATAAAAAGTGATCAAAAATGAAAAAACGAATATTGATTTAATAAACAAACAAACAAACAACAACCCCTACTTGGTTCCTTTTTCTTTCCCACCTCTCCGTCTATTCTTCATTTGTCTTGCTGTCCTTGCTCTGTATCATGTAGTAGACTCTTTTGTCCAAAGAGTTTTATTTGCAAATGTTAATTGTGTAATGTGTTGTTGGTCAGGTTCAAGGCCCCTGGCTTCTGGTATACTATCAATACTGGACCCTTATTGAAACTCCTCTCAGATATCCTGAAGTTACCCAAATCATGGAGATCCTGTGGTTACGGCTTCATAGGCCCAGTCACTGCCCATGCTCCAGCAGATCATATGTGGGGTAGATGTTGGGGAGTGTCCACTCATAGCCCTGAATGTGTGTCTGGTTGTAGCTGGGCTGTTGACTGGGCCACTGGGACAGGTAAGGTGCGGAGCTAGCTCTCACACACTGGTGACACTGGTGATAAGAAGTAGGACCAACTTTCCCGACTGTGTGTGTGTGTGTGTGTGTGTGTGTGTGTGTGTGAGAGAGAGAGAGAGAGAGAGAGAGAGAGAGAGAGAGAGAGAGAGTGAAGTGGGAAGAACAGGCTCTCCAATTAGGGGTGAGGCCAGCTTTCCCATGCCAGGGTAATCAGGGTCCCTTATCCCAGGGCCGGGAAGGGTGGGGCCAACTCAATATGGGTCTTTGTACTTCAACACCATTACAACATTCGGTTTACATGGGCCTTTGTGGTAATACAGGCAACAGACATCAACACAGACTCCAGCTGCAGCAGAACCACAGACACAGACATGCTATCAGTAGCAGTCTGGGCTTGGATGTCACCATGGCCCTGGGTAGCAGTGCAGGCCTCTTTGACTGCATAAGCCTAGGAGCAGCCAGGTCCCCAGACTCCAACATGGCCCCATGGGTCAGTTCAGACTTCAGGTAGTCGCATGACCTCAAAACAGACCCCAGCTGCAGTAGGGCGACAGACTCACAGCTTGGGTCCAGGAATCAACATGGTCCCTGGTGGTAGCATAGACTACCCCAATCTGTATGGCCCTAGCAGCAACATGACCCTCAGGCGCTCACATAACCTCAGGTGTTGGCCTAGACCCCAGAGAGACATACTTCCTTTGACGGTAACTGGAGCCATAGGCATCTATACAGATCCTTGCTGTAGTAGGGCCATAGACCCCGGCATGGCCCCCAGCAGCAGCTCAGGCCCAAATGACACCATGGCCTGGTGGCAATGCAGGCCGCTCAGCTTGACGTGGCGGTAACACAACCCTCAGAGCCTAACATGGCCATAGGTGGCAGCCCAGAAGCCAGGCATCCTTGTGGTCCTTGGTGACCAGGTTGGCTATGGACATCAACACAGACTCTAGTTACTGTAGGACCATGGACCTAGATATGGTACTAGGCAGCATCCCTGGCCTGGATGTCACCATGGCCCCAGGTGGCTGCACAGGGCACTCAACCTGGCTGCAAGGTGGCCAACAAAATGGCTCCAGGTGGAGGCCCAGATTCCAGGCATCCACTTGACCTTTGATGGTAACTGGTGCCATGGACATTAACACAGACCTTTGCTGCGGTAGGTTCATGGACCAAAGCATGGCCCTTGCCTGTCTCCATGGCTCCGAGTGACAGCTCAGGCCACAAGATTGGGATGGTCCCTGCTGTGGCATGGCCCTCGGACGTCAACAATGTGGCCATATGGGGTGGTGTCCTAGACCTTGGGCATCCTCAGGACTTTTGGTGGTAATTGCAGTCATGGATATCAACAGAGACTGACAGACTCAGGGTCATGAACCCAGACATAGTCTTAGGCAGCAGTCCATGATCCAACATCACCATGGCCCTGGGTAGCAAACAGGCCTCCCACAGTAGCCTGTTCCTGATCTCCTTCGTCTCTTCAGATCTATCTCTTTCCCCAGGACAGAAACCATTCAATCCATCTTTCTCCCATATCTCACCATATATTTGCTTACCATAATGGTGCTTGACCACCTTGTACAGCAAGGCGCTTGGTGGGCGAGTAGTTATTTCTCCCTGCCTAGGGCAAATGGTCCTAAGAAGACATGTTTCTGTGTCCCCCTCTGCCAACCTGGGTGTGCACGTGTGTGTGTATGTGTGTGTGCGCGCACACACATGCATGTGTGTCCATCTCTGCCCACTTGGTCCTAATGGCATTGTAGTTTCTTCTTTCTGCCCAGGGCAAACAGCTCTGGGAAGGCAAGTGTATGTATGAAGCAGACCGTGTCAGATGTGGGCCGGGGAATGCGAATCAATCCCACACTAGCTCCGAATAGGGTATACTAAGGTGTTCTTTATTAAAAGGGTGCTCACGGATCACAACGTGGAATCAGGAATGGAACCCAACATCCAGGTGTGGCAAGTGGGGAGAGAGTGAGAGGGCGATCCCAGGGGCCTTTTGGTACCCAAGGACATGCCGCACTTGGTCCAGCCTCTCAAAGGCTGTTGGCTGAAGGAGGTTTCCCATCATATATCCATCTCTGCCTATTCCCCAAATCTCTTTTATAACTGGGAAGTGGACAATAAATTTAAATATTTAGTCACAGCACAACAGTTTTAATAAAATATTTTCTATATGTGAGACTAGTTGGTTTTCATTTTATATTCATGAAAAATATAAACTTACAATTTTATGACTAGAACACTTTCATAAGGATGGATTAAAACCTTAGGATGCTAAATAGGTTACTGAGTTCCAAAGATATGCTCCTAAAAACAGGGTTTTCCTCACTGGATATGGCAACCATTAAAGACAGAATTTTATCAGCAGTGATTTTTCACAAACTTATCCTCACTAATAAATTAATGTAATATGCTTCTCCATATTAAATTTTCATTACTTGTTATATTTCTTTCTTTCCTAAAGAGAGTCTACTGTTTTTTCCAAAGTGAAAACATAGATTCTTCAAAGGGAGTTTTGGGTATATTTACAGCAGGAGGCCTGGCTCCCAAACTGATCATCATGAACAGTACATACCATGATGGCTTCCACTTCAAGTTAACTCTGGTAATTATGTATTGCTTTATACTATGTGTGTGTGTGTGTGTGTGTGTGTGTTTTATAGTGAGAAGAAGCATGCTCTTATTGGATGTCTTTTTTCATGTTGGAAATTCAGTAATGTTTCTCTACAAATGTTTTTTTTAAAAAGTATTTATTTATTTATTATGTATACAATATTCTGTCTGTGTGTATGACTGCAGGCCAGAAGAGGGCACCAGACCTCATTACAGATGGTTGTGAGCCACCGTGTGGTTGCTGGGAATTGAACTCAGGACCTTTGGAAGAGCAGCCAATGCTCTTAACCTCTGAGCCATCTCTCCAGCCCCCTCTACAAATGTTTTAAAGCCAACAATATATGCTGTGTATTACATTCCTTCATGCTGTGTGAATATATGGCACTGTGACTAAAAAAAGCTAAATGGCCAATATCTAGGTAGGATTAATGGGGCAGAGAAAATGCTGAAAAGAAGGGCAGAGTTGCAAGGAGACACCAGGGACACAGAGCAAGCAGCATGGGCTTTACAAAGAAAAGGTAATTGAAACACATAGACGAACATATATTAAAAGATATGGGTTAATTTAAATTGTAAAAACTAGTTGGAAACAAGCCTAAGATATCTGCCGAGCTTCCATAATTAATAAGACATCTCTGTGTGGTTAATTGAGAACTGGCAGGTGGGACAGAAAAATCTGCCTGCAAATACGGTATAGGTTGTTAATTAAGAAGTCATATAATTCTCAAGTACTTATAACACATTAAAAGAAAATAATGATGATGATTGTGGTAATGATTATGATGGTGAGGATGATAAAACACATTAGCAAGCCATGTGGCACATGCCTATAATTCTGGCACTCAGGAGGTAGACATGAAGATTGCTATAAGTTCAAGACCAACCTGGAATACAGAGCAAAACCCTTTTTATGAACCCCTTTTAAAAAAATAAATCACATAAAAGAAATGCATTTAAATCCGGACTAGCTGAACATAGCGGACAATGAGGAATACTGAGAATTCAAGAACAATTGCAGTGGGTTTTTGATCCTACTGCACGTACTGGCTTTGTGGGAGCCTAGGCAGTTTGGATGCTCACCTTACGAGACCTGGATAGAGGTGGGCAGTCCTTGGGCTTCCCACAGGTCAGGGAACCCTGATTGCTCTTCGAGCTGATGAGGGAGGGGGACTTGATCGGGGGAGGGGGAGGGAAATGGGAAGCGGTTGCGGGGACGAGGCAGAAATCCTTAATAAATAAATAAATTTAAATAAAAAAAAAGAAATGCATTTTAAGCAATTAAATATTTCTATTGCTTTCTGAAGATTTGACATTTGTGCTAGCTTCAATTTCTTCCAGCCTGCCAAATGGCAGTGAACTGCAGTTGACTTCACCATCTGTAAAAAGTGTACTTTCATTTTAAACAAATTTATCAAGATAAACTCACATGCCATTCAAGCCACCCACTGAAAGTATCTAGTTTATTGGTCTTTAGTATATTCAGAGTTGTGCAGGCTCACTAGTAAATAATTCCAGGACATTTCATCATCCTGGAAGACAACATGAAGTCGTTAGCAGTCACTCCTCACTCTCCTTCCAGATTCTCCAGCCCTAAGCAACCACCATTCTGCTCATGCTCTCCTTCCCTTCCCATAGATTCTCTAATTCGGCAAAGTCCGTGTAAATAAAATACAATACATAGTATTAGTAGCTGCCTACTTCAGTTTTCTTAATGTGCTCAAACTTCATACATTGCAAGGGAAATGCCAATGTTCTTTAAAAAATCTTTTTTTATTGATTTTTATTGAGCTCTACATTTTTCTGTGCTCCCCTCCCTGCCTCTCCCCTCCCCTTCAGCCCTCTCCTAAGGTCCCCATGCTCCCAATTTACTCAGGAGATCTTGTCTTTTTATACTTCCCATGTAGATTAGATCCATGTCTGTCTCTCTTAGTGTCCTCATTGTTGTCTAGGTTCTCTGGGATTGTGATTTGTGGGTTGGTTTTCTTTGCTTTATGTTTAAAAACCACTTATGAGTGAGTACATGTGATAACTGTCTTTCTGTGTCTGGGTTACATCACTCAAAGTGATGTTTTTTTTTTATCCATTTTATCCATTTGCCTGCAAATTTCAAGATGTCATTATTTTTTTCTACTGTGTAGTACTCCATTGTGTAGATGTACCACATTTTTCTTATCCATCTGCAGTCGAGGGGCATTTAGGTTGTTTCCAGGTTCTGGCTATGACAAACAATGCTGCTATGAACATAGTTGAGCACATGTCCTTGTGACACGGTTGAGCATCCATTGAATATATACCCCAAAGTGGTGTTACTGGGTCTTGAAGAAGGTTGTTTCCTAATTTTCTGAGAAATTGCCACACTGATATCCAAAGAGGATGTACGAACTTGCATGCCCACCAGCAATGCAGGAGTTTTTCCTTTACCTCATAATCTCTCCAGCATAAGTTGTCATCAGTGTTTTTGATCTTGGCCATTCTTTCAGGTGTCAGTTGGAATCTCAGAGTTGTTTTGATTTGCATTCCTCTGATGGCTAAGGATGTTGAACATTTCCTTAAGTGTCTTTCAGCCATTTTAGATTCCTTTGTTGAGAATTCTCTGTTTAGTTCAAGACTCCATTTTTTTTTATTGGATTATTTGTTCTTTTGATGACCAATTTCTTGAGTTCTTTGTATATTTTGGAGATCAGACCTCTGTCTGATGTGGGATTGGTGAAGATCTTTTCCCATTCTGTAGGCTATCGTTTTTGTCTTATTGACCATGTCCTTTGCTTTCCAAAAAGTTTTTCTGTTCAGGAGGCCCCGTTTATTAATTGTTTCTCTCAGTGTCTGTGCTGTTGAGGTTATATTTAGGAAGTAATCTTTTGTGCCAATGCGTTCAAGTGTACTTTCCACTTTCTCTTCTCTCTCTCTCTCTCTCTTTTTTTTTCCGAGACAGGGTTTCTCTTTGTCTCATTGATTCTTTGTATTTTTTTTGTTTCTATTTTGTTATTTCAGCTCTCAATTTGATTATTTCCTGCCATCTAGTTCTCTTGGGTGAGTTTGCGTCTTTTAGTTTCAAAGTTTTCAAATGCACTAGTGTGGGATTTTTTCAGCTTCTTTATGTAGGCATTTAGTGTTATGAGCTTTCCTCTTAAAACTGCTTTCATAGTTCCCATAAATTTGGGTATTGTGTGAGGTCATTTTCATTGAATTTTAGGAAGCCTTCAATTTCTTTATTTTTTTCCTTGACCCATTGATGATTCAGGTGATCATTGTTTAATTTCCATGTGTTTGTAGGCTTTCTGGAATTGCTGTAGACTTCTAGTCTTAAGCCATGGTGATCTGATAAGATACATGGGATTATTCCAATTTTTTTTGTGTGTTTGTTGACATTTGTTTTGTTATTGAGTAGGTGGTCAGTTTTTGAGATGGTTTCCTGAGGTGCTGAGAAGAAGGTATATTATGTTTGGATGGAATATTCTACATATGTCTGCTAAGTCCATTTGGGTCATAACATGTTCTTTCCCTTATTTCTCTGTTCATTTTTTGTCTGACTGACCTGTCCAGTGGTGAGAGTGGAGTGTTCAAGTCTCCCAGTATTAGTGTGTGGGGTTTAATGTATGATTTAAGCTTTAGAAGTGTTTTTGTATTTGGGGTATGGATTTCAGTATTGAGATTTCTTCTTGATGGATTTTTCCTGTGACTAATATGAAATATCCTTCTCTGTCTCTTTTGATTGACTTTAGCTTGAAGACTATTTTGTTAGATATTAGGATAGATACACCTGCTTTTTTCTTAGGTACATGTGATTGGAAAATTTTTCCTAACCCTTGACTCTGAGGCAATAACTTTCTTTGAGGTTGAGGTGTGTTTCTTCTATGCAGAAGAAGGATGGATTCTGTTTTCCTATCCCATCTGTTAGCTTGTGTCTTCTTATAGGTGAGTTGAGTCCATTTATATTCAGGGATATTAATGACCAGTGATTACTATCTCCTGTTAATTTAGTTTTCATTGTTGGGGATGTTAATTTGTGTGTTTTCCCCTTCTTCGGAATTTGCTGCTACGAGACCATCAATTTTCTGTGTTTTTGTTGATGTTGCCCACTTCCTTGGGTTGGAGTTTTCCTCCTAGTGTTTTGGGTAGGGTTGGGTTATGGCTAGGTATTGGTGAAATCTGGTTTTGTCACGGAATATCTTGTTTTGACCTTCTATGGTGAATGAAAGTTTTGCTGGGTATAATAGTCTGGGCTGGCATCCGTGATCTCTTAATGTCTGCATAATGCTTGACAATGATCTTCTGGCTTTCATTGTCTCCAATGAGAAGTCAGGTATAATTCTGATAGGTTTGCCTTTATATGCTACTTGGCCTTTTTTTCCAGCTCTTAATATTTTTTCTTTATTCTGTATGTTTAGTGTTTTGATTATTATGTGGTGAGGGGACTTTTTTTGGATCCAGTCTGTTTGGTGTTCTGTAAGCTTCTTGTATATTCATAGGCATATCTTTCTTTAGGTTGGGAAAATTTTCTTCTGTGATTTTGTTAAATATATTTTCTGTGTTTTTGAGTTGAACTTCTTCTCCTTATTCTATACCTATTATTCTTAGGTTTGGTCTTTTCATGGTGTCCCATAGTGTTCCTGGATATTTTGGGTTAATCTTCTTTTAGATTTTTAGACTGATGAGTCTATTTTCTCTATTGTATCTTCAGCACTTGAGATTCTCTCTTCCATATCTTGTATTCTGCTGTTTATGCTTGTGTTCGTGGTTCCTGATCATTTTTTCATGGTTTCTGTTTCTATAATTCCCTTGGCTTGTATTTTTTATTGTCTCTATTTCAATTTTTATGTCTTGAATAGTTTTTTTCATATGCTTGATTGCTTTTCCTTGGTTTTCATTAATGGATTTGCTAATGTCTTTCAATTGTTTTGTTTGTCTTTTCTTCCATTTCTTTGAGGGAATTTCTCATTTCCTCTTTAAGAATTTCAAACATTCTCCTGAAGTTACTTTTTAGGTCATTTT